GAAATAATTCCTCATCTTTCCCAGTCCTAATCTTTCAGAAATCTGACTGGCTTTATCTGTTTTTCATCAGCATAGCTTCTAATTCTGTGTTTGCAAGCATGGACAGTACTATATGCAGTGGAAAAAAAGAGCTACTGTGCTCTATAATTTAACCTGCTCATAAGATCACAAAGTTTTCATTGTGTTGTACTACTAACAGGTGAAGAGCGAGCTGGAATAATGTGTGATAATTTCTCCTCGCTGTTCCTGCTTTTATCTTAGGCACTGGTCAGTGACAGGGAATCCTATTAAATTACATTTATATAAAAGCTTCTGGTATGCACTGAATTTCTCTAGCCCATTACAGAGATTCCTGGGTAATGAACACAAGAATTTTATGATTACTAAATTCTGTTTACAGAGATCACTTAAAACACTTCTTGTAGAACATCAGCATACTGTCTTTCACTTAATGAAAGTGTAAAATAACTGATGTCAATGAATGGATTGGTTTAGTTAACAGAAAGGTTAAAGATAAATAATTAACAGTGTAACTGGCTGTTCCAGAACAGGGCTACAAAGCTGATGGCTGTAAAAGAACATTAAAAATGTCTATCACTGAATAGTCTGCAGGTCAGCAGGGGGGCAACCAAAGAAATGTATCCATAAGCATCAGACTTTTAACTATGGATTTTAGGGAACTGTATGAAAGAAGCCTCTGGCACTCAGATTGCCGCACTGGACTCCGTTGTCCTGCCACGGTCTCTTGTCTTGCTGCTCCCAGTAGGTCGTGGGATCTCGTTCCCATCAAGTGTTCACAGAGGCCGGTACTGAATGAACTCTGCGGTCACATCCAAAAGGAAAATCAAGGGAAAGTTTTTCTACAAGGTTAATAGTTTGTGTAAATTACTGAAGAGATGTGAGTGTGTACATCACTGGCGATGTTCAGTGCACCTCTGACAGATGGGCAGGCTAATGCGATGCCAGCAAAAAAAGGTAGTAGTCAAGAGGTTCTGTGTCCATATTAGTGTGGGGCTGACCTGAGTATAAGCAGCAGTAGTCACGTTAGTCTCAAGGTCCACTCAGACTAATTTATTGTTCTTCCAGGTAAATTTTCTTCCAGGTAAATTAAGAATTTTCATTCTTAATATTTGGTCAGATATTTCTGTAATGCACTGCAGTGCATTCATAGGCTGGGTAAAAATGCTGCAGTGAATAAATGCACTGCTAAAATTACACTACCTGCTCCAGTGATTAATAATTCCCAACATTCAGCATACACCACATTGGACTCTGCCTAACAGCTCTAAATCCTCATGGCAGTACGGCTCTGGACAGATGGAGCTAAGGATATTGCATCTATGTAGTTGCCTTAACAACGCAATTTGTAATCACCTCAAAGAATGAAATCAGGTTTGTGTGGCATGACCTATTTTATGTAACACCATCTTGACAGGCATTAATTATGTTCTCATCTGTTAATTCTTTATTGCTCAAATCCTGTATCAACTTTCTGTTATTTTACCTGATTTAGCAGGGATAGATGTCAGGCTACCTGGTTGAGAGTTACCTAGGTCAACATTCTCTCTTTAAATATTGGCATAATATTAGCACTTTTCTTCATGTTTTGAAATTTCCTCAGTATTCCAGGACTCGTTGAAAATAGCATTAGCTAGCTAATGATGTTGATTTTAAAATATTTATTCCTTATACAATTTATTTAATAATTTTTGTTTCAAATATGTGTCGGTTGTTCAGCCACTACATTTTCAAGTGCACTTCTACTTACTGAAGACTTTGCACTTACTCTGCATCAACAGCTTGTCTTCATTTACTAACGTCCCTCAACATTATTGTTGGCCTCTGCCCTGACAGAAGTTTATTTCCTAGTCTCCAGCTTCCCATGTGAATCTTCTACATTTTCTCATTTCTAACAGTGATTGTTGTTTGTTTTCCTTTTTTTCATTGCTATAGTTTTTACTGATTGTATTCTCTTTTCATCTGCACTATGATAGACCATCAAGCATTGTTATAAATTTTTTTCTTTGCTATTGATGTTTGCAGACACTTCCCTAAATCCTCTTAAAGCAAATTCTTAACCCTCTTTTACCCTAACTGAATTTGCCACCCCCTTGTTACACCCGTTTTTCTCGAATCAGAGAAATTAGCACTTTGAAGCAGCAAAGGATATGTGCCTTCCCACTCTGATATGTCCTCTGCCTATATTCATATAGGATATGTTGAGGACGCTTTAAACCTGGATGTGGGGGTCTTCCTGTCAGGACCAGTGTATACAAATATAGCTCCAGTTGCACAAAGCTGTGTTTGTAAATCACTGTGAAATCTTCAGAGAAAAAAATCAGCTGTACCTACTTCAGCTATACGCACAGGGTCACATGCGATATTCTTGCTTTAGGAATGCCATTTTTTATTCTTATTTTGGGCACTTCATGTCCTCTCCAGGATTTAGTTTTGTGAATTTTTTCCTTTCATGATCATTGTCTCCTTTGAAATACTCTTAAGGTTTTTCCAAGAATGAACATTCTTCTCCATGATTAAAGTTTTAAACAACCAAACCCATACATATATATGTAGTGTGTATGTGTGTATATGAGTGTATGTGTATATATATACACGTTATCTACGTATGGGTGTATGTATGTGTATACTCATATAGCCTGTATGTTTAACTGCATTTAAGACGTCAGAAAAATACAGTTAAATACTGTATTGGAATAGTAGCAAAGTAACAGTGTTATGCTTCTGTTGTTAAGTGTAGATGGACAGATGTTACTGAGAGTACAATTAATGCTCTGCTCATGTCCTTAAGCCAGAAAGAGTTGTATTTAATACCTGAGAAGTTGTATGGTAGAAATTAGCCCATAATTAAAGACTCCATGAAAACAGAAAGTATTTGGCTGGTCTTAGAAGAACAAGAACTCTATCATGTTTTCCAAAAAAAACCCTGGAGAATTAATCCAGGACACAAAGCTGTGTGCGGCAGTCTGAAAACACAGGAAAAGGAGACAGTATTATTCAGGAATTCGCTAAACACGAATTGGGACTGACTGGATCGCTCCTCCAACAGCCCAAAGTGACCATGTTCACCAGCTCAAACTCAACTTTATCATTTTTCTTACGGCTACGTAAATCAAGAATGTGGTTGACCTGCGTAAGACATACATCAGATTGAAGTCCAAATGGCAGTTAGGGGATTAATGGAAAGGGTTGGTGTTAACAGAGCTGCGGTGAATAAGCATAGTGGGAAGGCTGACGGAGGCTGATGAAGCAGTAGAGAACAGTGGCTTTGTGCTGAATCAGTGCAAGATGTGTATGCTGACTCGACCCTTTCTTACTTTTGCTCCTCCCAGGTGTTCCGCAAAGCCCTAAACGTGAGTGTTTTACCTCATCTGTGGACATCTGTTTCACTGGTGGCGGCACAGTATTTTGCTTCTCGAGTGGCTTCTTAAAAGCTTTTCCCCCATCAATTAGTATTTCAGAGTGAATTGCTTGTTACTTCAGTATTTGGTCAGTAGGTTCAAGGCCAGATAACTTCTCAGTGTTTTGTTGGAGTAGGTAAATCAGGCGGTACCTAACCACACTGTAGAGCAATTGCTTTGATTTGAGATTTGTTACTTTATGTGTGCATCTCTCAGTTGTGCCTGTCTGGTAATGAGCAAACTGAGTGAACCAGACTTCATTAAACTTCCACAAAACACAGGTGTAGAATTAGTCATATGTGATTCAGGATGACTCCACTTCCATGCTAGCCTTCCTGTCATGATGCTGCTGTCCTATGTAGCAATTAAATTAATCAATAATAACTTTTTTTTAAAGCAGTGGTTAGTTTAAAAGCCAGAGAAGAGAGTGACTGTTAAAATAATTAGATTTCCAGCTCCAGTTTCCAGGTTAGGATATTATGGACACATTTGTTCCTATCACATTTGCTTTGTGGTTCAGTATGAATTTTCAATAGATGACTATGCGATAAGAAAGCAGCAATTCAGATGCAATTATATAAACAGTAAGATCAGCCTGGAATTAGCCTGGAGAGTATAAAGCACACACGGAGCTTGTGCTGGGTCACTGCCTCTCCCAGCTCAAAGCAGAATCGGGTTCCTGTAATAGGGAAGAATTCAGCTGACAAAGAAGTTGGTCTTTCCAGACTCGCATTGTTGCAGCGACAGGGTAAACCAGTCAGTGTAAGTAATGGCTTTTGCTAGGGGAAACTGACAGCTGGAAGAGACTGGAGGGTGATGTCCATATGTTTGTAGACACTGTCATGTAAAGTTTGTAGTTTAGAGGCTATAGAGTAGACCCTGGAATTGTCTCAGAGCTAATCAAAGCCCTGTTCTTGGGATCCCCCAGCAGGTCTGAGAAATTAGGTCAGCACAACAGGCAGATAAAGTGGGGATGCATAGATTTTAACTCTTTGCTGATGTTCTTTATTGTAATTTGCTTGAATCTATTATTTAATTCTTGGCAGTGTTCCCATTCCATCATGCCTCTAAGCCAGCTGTAAAAAATGTAGCGGTATGCCTGGTATGCACAGCTGTTTCTTTTTTTCTCTTGAACATTTTATAAGATGCTTTCCTTAGAAAATTATTTTTAAACCAGTGAGATTATTTTAGCATCTCTGGCTGATTCTAGAGCTCATGTTCTCTTACATGTGTCACCTTTTCAAACCCTTTAGCTCCTTTTATTTTTCTGTGTCAGCATTTTATCACTCATTAGTGAAAATTTCCATGGAATATGCTTTAGTGGGGAAAAAGTTAGTTTGTCATATGTTGTTAATGGCCTGCTTACACTTCTTTTCTGTTTAGTGGTTAGTAATATCTCAATTAAAGGTCTGAGATTGGAAAGAACTTGTCAGGCTGTAGCTAAAAAAGTTAAGATTACTTGTGATCTGTGACTATCATAACTGTTCTTGTCAAATTCTGAGAAAAGGGCTGGAAGGTACATCTAATTTTACTTCGGCTTTGCTTTGTTTGTTTGTTTGTTTGTTTGTTTTTCCCCCAGCTAGCATGACGCCTTTCTTTGTGATGTCTCTCCTCTTTGGGCTGACTTTCAGCCAAACAGCATCACTTTGTGCTCCTTCTGAGTATATAATCCACGTGGAGAAAAGAGAATGTGCCTACTGCCTGGCCATCAACACCACCATCTGCGCTGGATTCTGCATGACTCGGGTACAAGGCGTTACTCTGTTTTAGGCAATTGTTTCTATAATGGCCATCACTGCAAACCAAGCACCTATTCTCACTGAAAAATCACGTGTAAATGATCCAATTCTAATAGTGTTTGTCACAGACAGAAAAATCACACTATCATCATGTTTTCAAGTTAGCATTTTGTGAAGGTATGGATGAGAAATGCCAAGCCTCCGGAACCACAGAGTTTCTAACACCAGTGGCGTAGCAGAGAACTGACTGCTGCTGCCACTGCAGAGGGTCTGTAGCCAGTTTGTGGGGTCAGGATGGAGCAGGTGAGAAGCAGATTACATTTGGTCACTCTTATTTAATGTAAATGACCTGGGTAACTTCTACTCACACTACTGTTATGACAGCTAGCTGTGGAGAACATCCCGCATGTGGGCATGCCAAACACTATGCTTGAACTTCACTGTTGAACACAGCATCTGAAGTTCCACCTTGGTCAGTATGTAGCCAATAGGTTACAAAGCACCGTTAGCACTCTGAGCCAAGCAGATTAGTTAAAACCGTAAAAGCAAGGTGAACATACCTACGGGGGGCAGAGAGCCCCAATCACATGCAGATCCAAATTACAGATCTGAACAGAAGTATGCAGAAAATATCAGAGCCTGTCCTAGTGTAAAGACTTTTGCTTTCTGCACGTTTGAGAAAACGCCAAAGGTAGTCTTCTGACACTCAGGTATGCTTCAGTGAAACAATGCATTTATTTTTTCTTTGTAGGACAGCAATGGCAAGAAGCTACTACTCAAAAGTGCTCTGTCCCAGAATGTGTGCACATACAAAGAGATGTTGTATCAAACAGCACTGATTCCAGGCTGTCCTCATCACACCATCCCTTATTATTCCTACCCTGTGGCTGTGAGCTGCAAGTGTGGCAAATGTAACACTGATTATAGTGACTGTGTTCACGAGAAGGTTAGGACAAACTACTGCACAAAACCACAGAAGCTCTGTAACATGTAAGCTTCCAACCGTGGTCAAAATGTACGTCTGCTCGCACCTAAGCATAAATAAAAGTGTATTTCATAACAGGTTTGCAAATTGGTGTACACAAAGTTTTATTCAAAGATTCATCACTAGTAACTTCAATTAACTGGATATTCTGTGACATGCACGAGAGCAGAATCAGAGGACTGTGGGTTTGTGTTTATAACCCACTTGAAATTTACTTTGGGGAAGAAGGAGAAATTACTATGTGTATGTATAAACTTTTTCTCATAAATCCCAGGTATCTTGTGAAGAGATGCTCAGAGACAAAACATTTGGTATATTTCAGAGTTAAAAAGAAAAGGCAACACATACTCTTAGTATTGAACATTTTAATTAGATTTAGATTTTGACATACACTTATAGCCTTCATATTAGCAACGGTATTTTTCCATATATGTAACACTGGGTTTTATGAGTGTAGTCAGCTGGGAATAAGCACACACAGTTTGCTTATCTACACTACAGACCATCGCTATAGGTCATCAGCGCTGTTGTCCAGACCCGTGTTCATTAGGGATAATTTTTCATGTCTGCACCAGTGGAGTAGCTTATAAGTTAGTCTCACAAAGTGAGGCGAGGAGACAGAGCCAATTAAATTTGAAGGATTTATTAGCAAGCGGCAGCAAGCAAAACAGCGCTGGGCGGCCCGGGAGTCTCACTCCGCCGACGGCGCGCACTTAGGTTACAAAAGTCTTTGGTTTTATACTCTTCTACTTCTGGTGTAGGCGTTTCTCTTAGTGGTGTACTCTGCGTCTGCGCGGTTTGTTGCTAGGGGGTCGTCCTCTTTCTTCCTTTGCTTTTTGGTGGTCGCGGGGATGAAGGCTCCATGTCTTCCTGAGCCTCCTAAGTCTTATCACAATTTATGATGTTAGCAGGACTTGACTGAGCCGCCCCCTTTCCTTTCCTCCCAAGCCTTTTCACAATTTATGATGTTAGCAGGACTTGACTGAGCCGCCCCCTTTCCTTTCCTCCCAAGCCTTTTCACAATTTATGATGTTAGCAGGACTTGACTGAGCCGCCCCCTTTCCTTTCCTCCCAAGCCTTTTCACAATTTATGATGTTAGCAGGACTTGACTGAGCCGCCCCCTTTCCTTTCCTCCCAAGCCTTTTCACAATTTATGATGTTAGCATAACTCGACCTTGCAGCCTGGCCTTGCTTGCTTAGCAGATGTTGGCTATCTTGCCCCATCCTGCCAAGCAGCTGCCTTTCATGAAACACTGTAACAATGAGAGTTTTTAGGTTTGGTGAACAAACAATACTGAGCTTGTCACAGAGTAAGCATCTCTTTTCTATTGAAGTACGTTGCTTGAAAGACTTTTCTTTCTGTGAGCACTGAAGAATCAGTGAAGCTTCAAGTCTTGCTACTCTGTTCTCCAGAAGGGGAGTGTAATGCCATCAAACTTGAAGTGAAACTCAGAAAAAAACTCTTTTTCCCCGCACAGGTCAGCTGGTCCCTTGTGTGTGAGAAACTGAGCTGGGCTGCACCCTGTGTGCTGAACATGCACAGGTGAGAAGTGCAGACCCAGAATAAGGAAATAAATGTAAACTAACAAATGTTTCCTGTCCACTGAGATCCCCCCGTTCCCACCCCCATGAATGCTATTGTTTCATTAGGCCCGACGACTCTGCGGCAAGCTATGGTTGTACTACACCAGACCCTGAGAATAAGAGCTAGTTTCCACCTGGTTTAAGTGATTCCAAAACAAAGTAGAAGAGCTTATAGAATCCAGTGACCGAGTTGGCAACCCCCGCCGCTCACCTCTATTGCCTATAACAGGAGTGACACAGTAATTAAATTGTCCCTGCTCAAGTAAATGTGACCTCTGCCGAGTACTGCAGACAAGACAGCAAGACTACAATGAAGGCGTGAAGAGGGCTGACAAAAAATAAAATTCTCTGTGCTTCCTTGACTGAGGAACAGCACTACCATTCTGCATGTCTTTGCAAATGCAGCCAGGGAAAAAAAACCCTAAGCGTATAAATAAATGAAGTGGTAGTAAAAGGATTCTTAACAATGTGTAACTATAAAAAGAACTATTTCAGAGCTACACATTTGCAGCTCTGTGCAGATGCACTAAAGGTTCAAAACCCCATTAAATACAATTTTCAGATAACACATGCCACTAACATGTTAAATCACAGCCAAAAGCTTTGTCCTTTTTCACCCCTTCCCAGCTATGTCTTACCTTGTAAAGTGGGTTACTTCACTATCTCTCTCTTAGTTGTTCAGTGACTGCAAATGTGGCTTTATGAAAAAGAATTTTCACTTTTAAAGTGGCGTATTAAGTGGAACAGATTTATCCAGAGGTTCACATCAGGAGAGCAGCATTTGTCCTCTTCCAGTTATCCAAAACAGGTTTGCTTTATTTTGGCAAGTAACAGACCCAAACAACCCCTAGAGCCAGGAAGATGAAGACCAACTTGTTATGCCCAGCTTGAAACGCCAACTACACTAGAAGATTGCCATTGTGCCCACAGAGAATTAACCCGCCAATAACCCTCAGAGCCACTCTACACCTGGCTATTGGCATAGATCTTTTATTTGTCTCTCTTTATTTTTGCTTCCAGCAAAACCAGAAGGCAAAAAACAATGACACACCTACTAACATACTCCTGCTTTTGGTGGTGTTAACGTAAAGTTCCAGTTTTGTTTGTGTGAGAGGGAAGTTGCATACACCTGCTACACCTTCTTAGAGCTTTAAAAATTCTCTTGTGTGTTATTGTAAACATCAGTTATTTCTTCTTGGGAAAAGCCTCATGGTGCTGGTAAGTGCCAGTCAGACCTTAAAACTGTTTGTCTACTTTCCCAAGAGTTTCACTTGATTACTTTTTATGGAGCAGCACAAGGTGGTGTTCCATAGTTAAGCCCAGAGTCAAGCAGCGAACTACTGCAAAGAGTTTATTTTAGGGGGTAACTGTTAATGGCATCCAGAGACAACTCCAGAACCAGTTAAGAAAAATCAATAGGGCAGGATTTTTTTTTTTTTTATTTATTTTATAATCTCCTGTACTATTCAGTGTGCAAACAAGGAAAAGTAGATGACAGGAAAAGGAAGAGTTGTAAGGTAAGCCTGTTAAGTTTACATAGCATTCCACGGATAACAGATGAAAAGTATTAAAGAGAAATTAAGAAATGTCCTGTCTTGGCAAGATAGCCCTAAGACTCTTGTGAAGTCTTTTAATGGCCTCTGTGCGAATGAACCCAGTTGCTAAGACTGTGCCATTCCTCTGACCACAGCCAGTTTGACATTGCACACTTTAGTTAGCAGTGGGGTGATATCTACCAACTTTCAACCAGGTATTGAACAGCAGACATTACTCAAAAGGTGCTATGATGCTAAAATGAAGCAGAAAGTAACTTACTTCCTTATGTTTTCTCCTGAAAATCCAGTTATTGCTCTTCCTCATCCCTCATTAAGGATGACACTAGAATACCTGACGTTCTTGCCACCAACCATAGCAGTATCTCCATTCACTCATGCAATTTCTCATGAAAAGTAGCAGTTACTAACCTATACCTCTCCGAGGTTAGGTACTAGCACGGAAGACATCAATGCTCCACTCTCCCCCCTTTCGCATCTCAAGAATTCTCTCTGCTTCCCTGGCCTCCCTTCCAGGACCCGTCTGCTGTGTATAAAAAATGACCTACATTGAATACAGCCCTCAAGCAATCAAAGGTACAACCTGAAACAACGCCAACTGCCACAACACTTAGACCCTAAAGTTTGTATAAAAGTGTACTTTTAGTAAAGTTAACTTTAGCTAAACTTTAGCTAAACATTAACTTTTAGCAGAAACATCAAATAGTTAATATTTAGAAATACATACTCAAACCAATCTCTGGGGATGATAAATAAATATTCAATTGTCCACTCTTCCAGCATCCTGTAACTGAATTTTCAACTTCTCCATGGGAAAGGTGATAATGACCTGGCACGTTTTGGCACCAATGTCCTACCATCATCTCTTTACATAGAATAATCCCTTTCTCGCATAGAGGGAGAGAAGATGATGAAATGGTAATATTATTCTTCTTTTACAGCAGGA